CGGAGCCGACATAAGTCGGATCTGCGTAAATCGGGGACTGCCTGTATATGCAACCACACTTAAGTTGCGGCCTTTGGCATGTGCTGTGAGTATCATTGTGGCCCGCGGAGCTTCCAAAGTTGAGTAGCTCTGATCTACATGTTTTGTTAGTCTTTAAGGTGCAACTAGTCTATTTGTTGTTTCTTAAGTTTTTCCTGTTACAGACTAACTCGGCTACCCCTCTGAAGCTTTTATATATATATTTAAATGCTTATTACACTTCCAAACACAAGTTTATTCCAATGGATTCCCAATTTTCCATAGTCTCAGAGGGGTAGACATATTAGTCTGCAAGTGAAAAAAACTTAAAAAAAGTCTCTACAATAAAGGATTAATGGACAGAAATCAGATATTCAAAATGGTAATACACAGAAATCTGTTGGGGACTATTTTAACTTGCCTGGGCACTTATTACTGGCTCTAAAAGTGATTATACTCTTACAGAGCTATTTCAAAAAGCAGCTGGAGAAACTGGGGAAACTTGCCTTCATTTGCAAATTTGACACATTTAATTAAGATGTGAATACATGAACTGGGTGGACTGCGATATTCAACACTCTAGTGACATAAAAAACTAAGCATGAGGAACTTACAGCCCACTCTATTTAGCATGGACACTCTAATTGACAAGATTTTTTTCCTTCTTTTTCCTTCCTCATCTTCCCTCTTTTCCAGCTATTTATTTATACCTCTGGACCCCTGTTCTAGTCATCTGAAGAAATGTGTTGTACCCACGGAAGCTCATGATACCTTCTATATTTTTTGTTAGTCATTAAGTTGCTGCAGGACCACTTGTTTTTTAAGTTTTTTTAGTTTTCCATAGTTTTGTTTGAAATTCAGAGCCATGCTAGACATACACATATCTTCAGGACTAGAAGGATCTGAAACCATGCAATAGAAAACCCAGACTACTTTCCTAATGCATGGCCCGTCATATGCTCAGAGGATTATTTCTGTAACCTTCTCATTGCTGCTGGTATTTCCAATCACTAGAGGCCTTACAGGTTTAATGTCATGAAATGTCACCTGAATTTTTGGCATGGTTTCACATTTCATGTAGTTTTCCTAAATCAATTTTCTCATCATACTTGTGACATTGATATTAAATAAAATCCCATTGGTTGTTCTGCTTGGGAAACTTTTACTGAAGACAAGTTTAAAAAAAGCCAACAACGACTTCACATCAAGCATGACAAGCTGCTACAAGTTATTCTGTTGCATACCAACAGGACTAGATTTATGTGGGACAAGGGTCACCCAGTGATACAAAATGAACAGCTGTTCAATGTTGAGTGTGTTCTGCACAAACATCTTGTGTGTCAGTCTGCTATAAAATTTGCAAACAAATAAGAGGAGATGTGTTCACTATGGAAAGTTTTAATTAAAAACACACACGGTTGTCTTAAAAATGAGTTAAATAGGCACTGTGCATAAACTCATTTGTAGCTATCCTACAGTGTTGCACAGCAGAATTAAAAGCTGAAGATATCTGTTTTAATGATTAACATTTAATTACAATTATAAAACTAAGATCTATGTTTTAGGGTCTCATTTTTGTTTGTGTATATGGATCTGCTTACTCTTGCTCTCCAGAAGTAAGACCATGTTGTGAATGGATTTCAATTTGGATTCTGCATCTCGACACCTGGGGCATGTCTACACTACACTACAGGTCAATATTCTAGTGTTCAATTTAATGAGTCTGCAAGGAGTAGTCAGCAGTATTGTTTATGCAAAATTTTGAATCTGTAGCTAATGGCAAAGTATGACTTAATTTTTCACAAATAAATCTACAAAGTCTTCAAAACATATAGTGGATTAACTGAATTTTTATCAGACTCAAGTTTACTAATTTGATGAAATTTCTAAAAAATTAATCTTACACAGATGTATTTGTAAATAATTGTGGCCTTTGCATAAGAAGCTGGTACCACCCATAAGAAACCTACTTCAGTTTCTTGTACAATTTTTCACTACACTTTTAGGATTCTAAGATCTCCCTCTAGTGGTTAATTTATTACTAATTTACTACTATCTGACAGCTGTTGATTTCTTTTGGGACAAAAATATTTGTGTTCTCTGGGAAGAAAAGTTTACTACACACAGATGGGAGTTCTAATTTTCCTGGAAACTGAATTTCCATTCAAGTTTCTCTATTTATCTTAGGATGTGATAAAGAGAAATAAATTCACACAATTCAATTGCCTTTCTAAGCAAGGAAAATAAATCATAGTGGAACAAAGGCTGTTAAGAAGGTAGGAAGGTTAAAATCTTGCTTTAGATCACAGAGGAAAGGGAATCTGAAGATATCATCTAATCCACGTTTAAATCCACATTATCAAAACCACACATGGCTGAAGAGAGGCCCAGGAACAGAAGAGCAAGAGAGTGATGCAAACTAGACTTAAGGTACATTTTCAGAAGGGGGCGGGGAGGGGTTTCAGGCCACTGCTCTCCCTCAACCCACCCTTTTCCAAAAATAAAAAATCAAGCTTGGTATGTCAAAGGGAAAGTTACAGGATAAACTCTCTTGCATAACCCATAAATGAGAAGTGCAGGCAAAAAACACTCCAGTCATCTTGTTCAAAAACCTGTGGAGAGGTTCCTACTATTTTGCTTTCCCCTCACAAAATCAATGCCTCCCCACTCTAGACTCCTACCTTTGGCTGCTCTGCACTTAGGCATTAGCGTTAAAGAAGCTGGTTCACAGGCCAAAGCAGCCAGTCCCAGAAAAGCTGGTGAAAGGAGCTATTGCGCCTCTAGTTTCCTACCTATCCTAGGTGATCTTGTCCCTGTAGAGGGTTCCCAGCAGGCCTTTAAAAATAAAACTGAAAAACCAAAGAGTGGGTGTCCATGAACCAGTCTAATCACACCAGCTGGTGAGCCCAAGGAGAACAGGACCAGCTCTCTGACCAAGGTGCAGGTCTCACTTCAAAGAAAGGGGTGAGTCACAGCGGGGGGGGGGGGGTGGGGGGCG